TTTAATTTGTGTGTCATATTTTTTATTTTTCCTTGTTTGCTAATATTTTTCTGAATAGCAAAAGATACTGCGGATAAATAGAAATAAAGGGAATTGGCGTAAAAATTTCCCAACATATTTTTCCCTAAATATGGTGTTCAAACAAAGCCCAAGTACACAACTTAAAAATAAAAAGTGCACAACTTAAATAAACTGCATTTTTTTCAGTTTATAACAAAGTGCTTTAAGTTCTTATAAAATAAATTTTGTAAAAATTATTTCCTTTTGAAGAATGTGTAGAGAAGAAATAGAAAAATATTTGGGTTTATTGCTCAAAATTATTTGGGTAATTAGCAAAAAAAAATCTCTATCGTTTGCATTGATTGCTAAAATATTTCCTATCCTTTCAAATTTGATATTTACACCCTCATTTCAAGCCTTTCTCGTGGAATTGGTTATTTCCATCATGTTCCGTTAACCCCACAGTGAAATAAATGCATGGATTAATTCACTCGCATTATTTGAAAGGTTTAAATTAGTCAAGTTACTATATATTTTTTGCTCTCTAAAAAGTTTTGGTGAATATCATCCTCATAGTTTGATGTAATTTGCAAGTTTATACCTCCCACAACCTTCAATGTCAGCATCCTCATTTGGAGTTAGATCTGAAGCATCACACTAGAAAATTCCAACACAAACTATATTAGTATGCTAAACTTAATTAAACAGGTAAATAAACATTTCATGTTCACCCAATTTAAAATAATGTAAATAAACATATAGAACTTACCTTACAAATGGTAAATAAAATATAAAAACAAAAATAAAAATAGTCACAACCCATTTGACACCCTAAATTGTGGATTTTGGTCACATGGTCTTTTGGTGTCTCCAATAGAATTTTGTTAAGATGTTAATTTTTGTTTGGCAAAAAATGGTATTTATCGCTCAAATCCAACACAATGGCAATGGTAACAAATGCAATGAAGTGATAAATATTGCCATTGTCCTTTTCAATACATACCTCAAGAAATTGATTGATCGATTCAACAGAGTCAGTTGCCTGGAGTAAAATTGACTTATAAAAAATCACAACCCATCTCAGAAATTGAAAATAAAGCTTATCGGCATCGACATTGAAGTTATTGATGTCGGAATGGCAATGGGAAGGTGGTGTGGAATGAGTTCAACACTTCAATGGAGGCTTCTTTTTTTGGAGCATTTTTGGTAAAGTGATGTTTGGTGTGGCTTATTCACATTGGGGATTTTGTTGTGCTCCAATTCTCCTTTTATTTTTATGAATGGCCATGGTAAAACTCTCCTCAATCTAATGACTTGACTAATTTATCCCTTTCAAATGATGTGAGTGAATTTCATGCATTTATTTCACGATGAAATTAACGGAACATGACGAGAATGACTAATTCCATAAGAAATGCTTGAAATGAGGGTGCAAATATCGAATTTGAAATGATAGGGACTATTTTAACAATCAATGCAAAGTTACGGTACGCTTTAATATCACTCTTATCCAAGGTTTACAAGGGGGGAATCGCATCGCGACCGTTCGAATCAAATGTATATAAGTTGTGGCAGCATCCCAATTTATCCTAGTCACACCGCCACTCCTCCGGAGGTCACGTCTGAGTCACGGGAAAAAAAGTAAAAATTCAAAAAGAACGCCTTTTGGTTTCCCTAAGAAATTCCATTTACCTGACGGTACCAGAAAGTTTATCTCCTGCATCTCGTGGAGTCGTAATAAAATGGATCGAGGTGGCCGTCGTGGCGGAGGTAGGTATCGCAGCCCCAGAGGACGATCATCGCCTTCCGCCGGTCATTCGCCCAATCGTCACGGCTCTGTAATTCTAAATACTCTCCTATGTTTTTGTTATTTTCTTATCACATTAAATAATTATCAGTCGAAGGGCATCTGAATTTAACCGGAATTAATCTTTAAACTCTGCAATCTTTACCTTTATTATTATTATTTTATTTTTTTTGTTGGCTAAAGTGAATCTGTTGCTTTTTCTATTTTGAGATTAATTTCTTTAAGGTAGTAAATGGCATATGATTTACTTAATCGGGATTTAGGCGAATTGTTTGTGATGAGGAAAAACGTATGATTTTGATGTTGTAAAGTTTAATACTTGTTTAGATTCACTGGCTACGAATAAAACATATAAATGAAAACGATCGATGCTTAAAGACTTGGAAATGATCTCTCTTGCTAGGGATTCATAATGATTCTGAACAGAGTTCGGAAGTATTTTCGCTCTTTGGATAAAAAAATTTGCTAACTGGTTTATCCTCCTGCATGTTGGCATTTCGAAAGTCTACGAGATTACACCTCTTAAATATATGTTCAAGTCACTAAAATCTTCCACATGGAGTGATGACTGATTTCTGTTATTTGTGAACAACCTTTCTTCTGCAAGGTTGGATCTCATGGTTATTCCAGGAATGCTTCCTCAGGACGTGGAGTATTACAATATAGAAGGAAAAATCCAGAAACAACGCCAGTTGGTGTTTCATGTCCCTCAAACATTATATCTAGTGCTGAAAACCTTAAATTAGAGTGTAACACAACAAAATTGGAGTATGTTAGCCCAAAATATCAGGAGTCAGCGTCTACACCTCCCTCAAACATTATATCTAGTGCTGAAAACCTTAAATTGGAGTGTAACACAACAAAATTGGAGTATGTAAGCCCAAAATATCAGGAGTCAGTGTCTACACCTCCCAACATGAATGAGAGGAAAACTCATCAAGAACAGTTGAGGGGTGCAGGGAAAGAAAGCTTCAGTTTACCACACCTTGGTGGTACTTCTCCTGTTGATGCATCTTACACGAAGAAAGGACCATCTCAGAGTAGTGTATCTGATTCTAAAGAGAGTCATTTCGGACAGGAAACTCAAAGCAGGACAAGTGCTACTGAAAACACTGTTGGTGATGGCAGGCCTAATGATTCTGATAGCCTGCAGAAAGGATATTCCTTTGATATTTGTGTGGAGAAAATTGGGAGTTTTGTCAAGCTGCAACCCCCTCTGCTTGTGAAGAATAGAGAAAAGAAGAATGAAATGAAGCGCCGTACAGAAGGAGAAAACATCAAGGTTTTAAGGCCTGGTGTGGTTCTATTGAAGTGTTACCTACCCTTAATGGATCAGGTGAAACAATTTACGTGCTTTGTCTTCGTGCTGTTGGATTTGTAAGAAATTATCATATCTTTGGACTGTGTTGCCTATTCATGTCAACAACACTCAACATGAACACTTGCCAATTTATTATGCTCAACTTATCTATCAAAAAGTTTGTTGTTTAATTAGTTGTGAAGTCTTATATTATTGCTTCGGTTATGAATGAGCATGAAGATGGGGGAAGGCAGAGGGGGATAGTATTTTTTGAAGAACGTGGTTAGAAAATAAAAAAAAGTTTTCGATTTACGTGTAAAATTATTTTATTGGAGAATGTGTAGTTGAAATGAGTTTTGAAAAAATGAATTTTTGATAAATGGGGCTCAAACAAGGGCTATGTAAGGTTACCTGAGACTTTCCATCCGTGCTATATTTATTGATAGAGCTGTTGTCTTTGGTTTCTGTCAAGGTCAAATTGGTAAAGATGTGTAGAGATCTTGGTCTGGGTTCTGGGGGTTTCTACCAACCTGGTTATCGGGATGGAGCACAGCTGCGTTTGAAGATGATGTGCCTTGGTAAAAATTGGGACCCTGAGACAAGTGTGTACAGTGACGAAAGGCCTACTGATGGAGCTAAACCTCCTCCTATTCCTGCTGAGTTCCTGCAGTTGGTTAAAGGAGCAATTCAAGACTCTCATGCTTATTTAGAATCAACCACTAAAGTAAGAAAAGTTGAAGATATTTTTCCCTCTATGTCACCAAACATCTGCATTGTCAATTTCTACACACAGCGTGGCAGTCTAGGTCTTCATCAGGTTTGTAGATTTACTTAATCTTTGACTCTGTTAAATTGGTTAATAGATTTGTATTTACAGAACTTTTTCTTTGCTTATTTAGTGGCCTAGTTTTGTTCTTTGTGACAAATTTATTAACAGCTGGAAATACTTATAAACCTATGTGCAAGTCTTCGTATCATACTAGACTTTTCACAGGATTGTTGCAACATAATTGCCCTAAGAAATTGATGGAAGAAAGCAACTTAAGGGAATATTGTAGATTATGTAATATTATTCAGATTGCATTTCTTTGGTCTTGATAGCCCATTTCTTTTAAAAAAAAAAAAA